TTCTTGAGAGGGAGCTTACTTACTTAACAGTCACCTACAAATACCCACTGACAATATGCCCGAGTCTGTTCTCAAGGCCTGATAGTCGATTGGACTTAGATTTTCCTTTCCTCTGTTCAAGGAGGAAGTAAGCTTCCTTTCATTCCATTAAACATTCACCAGTTCTTCCCATTGCTTTCCTTTTCACCACAGTCCCTTTTTAGACATGATGTGTGTCTTAATGATAAATTTACCCACCTTCCAAAGTAAAGACTAATCTATAAGATGTACCCCACTTGAGGATTTGTAGCACATTAATACTATGAGTTATGTCTGGTAGATTTTTGTTAGCCCATGCTGATTCAATGGTAGAAGAGAGCAAAAATTCTAAATACTATTGTTATCCAGAACTGAGTGGGAGGACAGAGGGGAGGCAATGGAAAGGGCCTTGTGTGAGAGAGCAAGCTAAGGAGAAGACCAAGGTCGGAGAATCTCCCACCAACTGCCCTTCCTGTTAAGAGCCTTCTCGATGACCGGCAGACAGTGGTGAACTACGGGGGGCGGCAACAGGGTCCTGCCGGGCTCTTCCTTCATTCTGACTTTATTTCTTTGGAGGTACTATGGACCGAACCCAGGGCCTCACACATGCTAGGCAAGTGCTCTACCATTGAACTATATTTCTGGCCCTTAAACTTTTTGTTTTGTTTTGTTTTAAATTTGAGACAAGGTCTTGTTAAGTTGTCTAGACCTTGAATTTGTGACACTCCTGCCTCAGCTTCCTGAATGGCTAGGATTACAAGCATGGCCACTTCACTTGGCTCTTTGTTTTTAATTGAGAAAAGTGACATTGTATTTCAGAACTGCTCAGTTATTTTCCTGTTCACTAGCCATTAGCTCACTCTGATAGCAGCCAAGGCTCTCTGTACCAAAGGAGGAAAAATTATCATAGGGTGAAGTTTAACGACGTGGACAGGTGTTCATGATTACTGACACAGGGCAAACAAAAGGCAGGTCACTCAGATTAGGCTCTACAATTGTCCTTTGGGTTTAAAAGATGTGTGTGTGCCTGTACACATGTGTGCACAAATGTGGGGAGACACCTGAAGGAGTGGAAACATACCCCAATGCTAGCAGCTTATCTCAGGGATTGACTTTTGATTGGCATATGTGTATATACTTAAATATATACCTATTTTAACATATACATATACTCCTTTTTGTAAAACATTTTCTCTTTATAATAAAAATAAAAAGTGGAGCTTTAAAATTAAAAAGGCTGTCATTTTTAAAGAATAATTTTATCTTTGTAAATTTCTAACCTGCTGTAAACAAACAGTCTCCCTGAGATACCTATTTCGTAGTTAGCTCTTATATTTAATTTCTGAACTTGGGTGAGCACTTCATTCACCATACTATCCAGGCACAGCCATCTGCAAAAATCCATCTTTTCCCCTTTGGCAAAATCTCTTGCTGGCCCAGAGCGAGCACAGCCGGTGACTCCTGAGTCCCTCGTCTCCCAGCAGAAACCTCAGCAATGAGCACGCACTCCGAGCCCCCTTCTGGATGCCCGTGAGCCCCCTGGGGCATGTAAGGACAGCTCCCATAAAGTGAATCCACTCTCTTCTCACGAATCCCGCCAGGGCACCAGGGCTGGAAGTATCCCTCAGAAACGCAGACAGCCAACCAACACCAGCCACCAAGCAGAGCGAGCAGAACAGGGGCCCAACTGTCAGTCTCCACGGAGATGCCCGTGGGTCCCCACCAGTGTGTCTTAGCTGGGTCTCAAGTCACTTTATTATGGCAGAAGAGAGACAAAGAAAAGTGCCATGGATTCAGTTTGTACTGGCTTCAGGGACAACCATGTGTACTGTAACACACTTCCTGGCCACGATGTGAGTGGAGGAACCCAGAGAAGGGTGAGCCTCAGATCTGCTTGCAGGAGACTGAGGATGCTTCCCGCAGGCTCCGATGCCCCAGGGCACCTGGCCTCCTCCGCCACAGCCCTTCCGCCCTCCACATCACAGTGGTGCCAGACTCCTTAGGGGGCGCATTTGCTAAGTACGAAGGGCACCGCTCACCTCTCACCATGTGCATGTGCATGGTCACATCTCAAATGTAAAACAGTCGTTCACTAACAGGAAAGGGAAACACCCAGGGGCTGACAGGAGCTCTAGGCAGACCACCCTTCAGCTCTGCAGCCTACACACATCGGGAAAGCGCAGGAAATTCTTCAAGTGTATCTGCTCCAGCGAAGGGAGAAAGGGGTTTGGTGACCTGAAAGCGTCCCTTAGGCCAGAACCCACAGACCTTCTTTATACCAAGATTCCCAGACTTCATAAAAGGTGATGCAGATTTTACGAGAGCTCTAAAGTTCTTATTATTTTCTTCAAATATGCTCTTTTGTGGAGCACATTTTAGCACAGAACTACAGCTACAGGCTTACAGAGACTGGGGTAAAAGGTTTAAGAAGAGCAAAACACACTATCCCTAACGTCTCCATAAATGTCTCACTCCATCATCACACACGCTGTGCTCGCAGCACTGTTGTTCCTACTTTACAGATGCGGTAATTCCGTCTCCACTCGCACAAGTCTACGATCAGGGTAGAACCAGGGTAGAACGAGCATGTAGAACCAATGAGGTCTCCACGAAGAGAGGAAGAGATGTGTGGGCCAGTGACCCAAGGGTGTGAATGCCCCGCCCGAGGCCCAGGGCACCACACTTGCAGTGAGTCAGCGTCGGACCAGCTTCCCGGGGCTGCCAGGGAGGAGAGATCTGAATCCAGCCCAGGCCCAGATTCCCCAGCAGCTCTCTGGTCTAAACCAAACCCGCCAGCCGCTCCCAAAGCCTAGAGATCAAGGATCTTGACAGCTCTGGACACAGCTGGAGGCAGAGGGAGATGAGAACCAGGTTCGAACCCCCAACCCCCTGCTCCTTCCGGTACACCGAGGGCTAGTATGTATCTCGGGCACTAGTGACAGAAATCACACCAGCAGCCAACACCGCCTGTCCCTACTCAGGCCAGACACCACGGTGTTTTCAATGAATGACCCCATTAAATGCTCAGAGCTGCCAGGCACAGGTGGACGGGGAGGCAGGAGAGACAGGCCGTACCAAGTTGCCTCTCTCACCTGAAAGGTTGTGTGAAAACTCCTGGCGCTAAATATAAGCAGCTGACAGGCCCACGGACTTGTTACAGTTTATTCCATATACTGTACTTCAGTGGCTTTACAAAAATGAATTTCAACAGAAAGGTGATTCTGATGCTAATTCTTAAGTTTCCCAGAAGAGTTAAAAACCTTAACTGAGATGGTTTAAATCTACTTTTGAGATGCAAATATAAGATATGACTGGTAACTATGGTGAATGTTAAAATAAAAAAATTATTACAGTAAGACACACTGCCATGAATCCTCCCTCAAAAATTCTCCCCCTCACTTTGAACACACTGCTCTCATCATTCCTGCCACTTCCTGCAGCGGCTCTGGAGTGCTCTTTCCTGGGGGTCTTCAGTTGTGCTGTCCCGGCTGCCTCGATGCATGCCCTGAATTGATTCAAAATGTTTCCCTTTTATGGTCATTTTGACTTTGGGGAAGAGTCTGAAGTTGCACAGTGCCAATCTGGTGAATAAGGTGGATGAGGACACAGTGTCATGTTTTTACAAGCTGCTTTTCCATCGGATGGCACTTGGCAGCAGCATTCATTCATTCATTCAATGACTCTTTGTAAAGACATGAAGGAAAGAGGACCCCAGAGCTGCTTCAGAAAGTGGCAGGAACAACAGGGTAAGTGTGTTCAAGGGAAGGGGAGGACTCTGACGAGGGTGAATGGCAATATGTCTTTTACTGTGATAATTTTTAAAAATTTAAACAATCAATGTGTATTTTGATCACCCCTTGAACATGTTAAAGGGGGAAAATACTCCTTATCCAAGCATATGTAAAATGAATAGTTCTTTAGTAAAACTATCACCTACAACTGTAACTTGAGTATGCCAAACAATAAGGAGGAGGCTGAGGCAGGGTCATATTTTCAGTGCCCCAGCCCCTGACTGCTCATCTGTTGACACTAAGGACACAATTCTTAAGAATTAGTGTCTTGCAATTACTAAAAAGAAAAACTTGCTAGATTTCCCAAAGTTAGTTGTACTTGAGTTCACAATGACATCTTTGGGTTTTAATATCACCTTATTCCACTGATACAACAGCTTTCTCAAAGACATTTCTACCTGGCATTTTGGAGAACTTAATATCCATCTGCCCCTCCAGATTGCAGTTTTATTAGTAATAAGGTTAGAGGTAATCTGAGACTTCTTTTACTTCAAAACGTCTGCAGTATTACTGTTGGCTGGGTTGGAAAGGAATTCCATTCCTCCTCTGCTCATTTCACCCTCCTTTTCTTTTGTCCAGCTCTAGTTATCTCCACTCAACCTCAAACACTTGTTTTTTCTTCCTACAAATCCTACCTTACCAGCCTCATGCATTTATTAGTAGCAGCAATAAAGCCATTTTTTCCACTCCATGGAAAATTACGCTCTTGGTATGAAGAGAGTCCAGGACAGAGAGCATTTGCATGGAATTATGGTGTACGACAGGAGCTGAGGAAGTAGAGGACACACACACGTGGCTTAATATTCTTTAGCAACACACTGGTCATCTTTCGTGTAGGGATTCTAAATAGTTATAAATTTAAAACTCGAAGTGCTGCAAAATCTAGACTAAAGTGGCAAATATGGTAACTGATGTTGATTATCTAATGACGCTAACAAAAGTCTGGCAAGGATTAAGATACAGCTAATGCTCTGGCTGTGCTTTGTGCTTTGAGATGTAGATGTAGATATTTTAAATTTGGCTGGGGAGATCTTGTTTCTTTTTCCCTTTATTTAGGAAAGTGCTAGAGAGAAATTCATTTAAAAGACTTTCTATTCTCCCAAACTCTTAATATAAAATATAAACAACATATGCTTAGGTATTCCCTAGAGTCCTGCAGTGGCAGTAAAGAAAAGTTATTTCCTATTTTACCTGGGCAGAGCCGTGATTTTCCCCCACTTCTCCACACAGAATCTTCTGGGGCCGTTGCTCCCTCGAAGAGAAGCGAATCCTTCATAGGGAATGCTGGATGTCCCAGTAACAAACTGTCAACCCAGAGGAGAGGGGAAAGTGAAGGCGGAGGTACAAACCCTTCCCAGGTGTGCAGCAACCTGAACACTAGCATTCTGGCAGACAGGGAGGAGTTCATGACACCAGGAGAGGGGCTCTGAGGGCTCACAGAAAATAAAGACCCCCATGCAGCTGGCCCGCTCAGCTATTCACCTAGGTAAACTTCTCCTGAGAGACAAATACAGTGAGGGAACCAATGAGCCCAAGTCCACTCAGCATCAGCCCTTCATCAACTTGGGATGAATTTTTTTTTTAATTGAGTTTCTGGGCCTGCAAATCTGAAGTCCAGACCCTTAACACAAAGGAGCTCAGGCCCAGGCTACTCGTAAGGCTCTGCCTGGTAATCTGAGAGGCCTCCTCCTGTCTGATACTTCTGCAGCCAACTACCAAGTGCCCTGCAGAGGTAGAAAGGTGACAAAAGTAATGAGCTCATTTTCTCAATGCTCTTGAATGTCACTGTCTTGCTAATTCACGGAAGTCAGATGCCAGGGAGAAAGGCCTCTTTATCAGGAGCCGGGTCCCTTAGGACCGCACAGCATCTCTTTCTGGCTGCAAAGGATCCTGGGCCTCCTCCCGAAGGAACCCAACTGTCCTTCAGGTGGAGGCTGAACTGGAGTTGACCCTGTGACCACTCAGGAAATGCCTTGATTGGAGCAGGGTCCATGCAGTCCTGCAGCACACAACTATGCAATCAGAAGAGGATGGAAATGGAGTGTCCCTCATTTCCAGATAAACATGGTACACACTTATGGAGAACAATCAGAAATTATTTAAAGTAGACACTTCCCACAGTAATATTACTGCCCTGAGAGGGTGCATAATGACATCTCACCTGTAACAACCTCAGCCGCTGTTCATTGTTGAACCTTTCCACGGCAGCCCAGAACCACCGGATTACGATATGATTGTCATGGTAACCTAGCGAATCAATCAGGAAAGCCCGTGTTACACTGACTCTTCTCTCTTAATTCACAAGGGTACATCACAAAGGACAGCCCAGAGAGAAGGCGTCACCTTGGATTCTCTAGACACGGTTTATAATGTAAGGCTGGGGAACAGCAGTGTAAATAGGGTCCTCTGAGTGTAAGCAGTTAAAGGAAATCAAGAGATCTCTGTTTTCATTGAGTGGCCACCGAAGGGAAACTAGTGGCAAGAAGAACAACAAATGACTGATGTTAGCTGTACCATTCCTGAAAAATATAGCTGCTGTTCCTGGAAGAGCTTAACTCTTCCGTCATTCATGTAAGAAGTAATTTTTGCTACCACCGTGCCAAGCACTGTGCTAAGCCTGGGGGGACCAAGACAGAAACAGACCCCCACTGGGCTACTGCTAAAGGGGGGACACATTAGCTGAGTAATTTACACAAAGAGATACAGAACTGAAAGCTACACATAATATTCATATTTTATAACCAAAGAACTTTCATACTGATTTATTAATAAAAAGGGAAAAGTGACCTTTAATTCCTTCAACCAATAAATTCTAACTATCAACCAAATTTTACTTTTACTCCACAGCCTGGCAGAATTTAACAAAATGTCAGAAGTATCATCTTGCAGGTGGGCCAAGGCGGGGGTTGTGGATTCTAAGGCCTCTCAGTGAAAATTAAGTTCCGGGAGAAGGCCGACAGGATTAAGGTGCAGTTACTGATCCAGACCCGCAGCTCACCATAGTTTATGTGCACACAAGCTTTAAGGCTGAGTCAGCCATCGAATAAAAAGGATGGGAGAAACCATTTTACTCTGGATGTCTCCTCACTGTTCCATAGCTGTAGGACCTAAGGGCCTCTCGCCCGCGTCTTTGCCTGGAGACCCGAGTGCCGGGTCAGCAAAGCTGGGCTGGGCACGGTGACACATGGGTTCCGTGTCGTCTTTGGTCAAGACTGAACTATCTGGAACTCATGAGGAGCACTCACTCTTGTCTATAAAGCAAGCGTACTGATTGGCGCTCTGGAGCATTCACATGTCCGGATCTGAAGGACCCCCCTTCCTGCTTGTGCTAAACCTTCTGGGAGAAGGACTGAGCATGTCCTCGAACTCTCCACCCATGGCTGCCCGTGAACACGGTGAGCGGAGCACAGCTCAGCGCAGCTGCTCCGCCATTCAGTGCCAACAAGGGGGGCAGCTGAGGACGGGCCCTTATCTGCTTGCTCCCGGGCAGTGATAAGATTTGGTAAGATTTGCAATTCCACACGGTGGTCCTTGATAAGTCAACCTGGGTGACGCAGCTTTACACCGCGTTAATACTCAGGCTGACTGGGTAAGCTGCACTGCGATCAGAACTTCCTGGGGGTGAAAGAACAGGCAAATAATATTGATGGTAAAATGTAAGTTACGGAGCATACCAAGAAATTACGTTCTAGTTAGTAAAAATAGTCTGGCTACCAAAATTATAAAAACTAAAGCTATATAAGGTTTAGACATGGGGCCAAGTGGAAAACTTATTTCAGCAAAAGAGCTTCAGAAATAGCACCAAGCACGACTGCAATTTAACATAGCTTTTGAGAGAAAGCCAGCAAGCAAGGCCAGCTGCACACCAGGGGAGGCTACCGGAGCCAGGTAGGGGCAAAAGCAAAAGCAATTGGGCGAGTGTTAAGCTGTTTTTTCACCCCAGACTTGTAAAAGCACTGTGGCTGCTGTTGTTGAGCTGCTTCAGTTCAGATAACAGGAGATCCGGTCAGCTCTCAGTTTACCCTGCTAAGTGACCGTCCTCTGTGCCGGGCAGTGTGTGTTTTGCTGGTCAAGTTCAGAAGGACTGCTGACTTCTTCTATTCTGAGTTTAAAAAACAGAACCCAAACCAGAAAACAGCTGGTATTTGTGATGAGTTTCTGAAGACTTTCTAATGTGCAACAAATTCCCAGAAAATGTAGACTTTGCTTGCTTAAAATTATTAGACAAAACTAACCCTTGATTACCATTAGGTCCCAGATAGAACAATTAAATTTCCACACCTTTGGTCCTCGTTACTAACCGAAAATTTGTACTTATTCACAGAAATCCACCTCTAAAGCTTTCTACTGAAACTAATCTTGCAACAGCCTCCTTCTCAGCCGGACATAGTACTTGAATTTGGCGGGGCTTTGCCCGTGTACTTATTGCATATTGAGAACTGTGTGTTTTCGCAGTTAGGTGTCTCAACCATGAGCTGCAAACGGTGAGTGGGTCGGGTCAATGGGCTGGAAGAAGCTCTCAAGGTGAGTTTTAGAATGAGGAAGGACTGATGGACAGGCGGAGTCGGACCAGCAGGCTCTCAGCTCCTGGAGCTGCAGTGATAGCACCGTGAAACGAGTGAGAGTTCCCATGGACACAGTGAGGACTTACAACACCCTCAGGCGGGGCACACGGTCCCACCCCCCGAAAGATGAGCAGCTGGGAGAGCAGGGAGTCTTTCTCGTCCAGCGTCTCCAGGGAGACCGCATCAGACCTATGGTTAGGGTGCAAGCATGTCTGTCTGTCTGTCTGTCTGTCCTGTGCCCACAGCAGCAGGCTGAGCTCCGCCTCCCTTAACTGGGACCTAGACTCCAGCCATCTCTAACTCGAAGTTCACCTCCTCTGTATTCCGTGTTGCTTCTCCAGTCACTCAGGTCTATTTCAGCGGTGCCTGCGATGACCAGTTCCAGTTCTCTTGCATCAAACACGGAGACCAGCCTGGCATCCACCACCTGCGGGATGAAGAGAAGACAGGGCATGGCTGGAGCACCCGGAGAAACACAGCCAGTCACTGAGCTTCATTGGGAAAAGGAGGCGTGGGGCGTCTTGGGGATAATTGGGGCACCCGGGTCAGCGCCGGAATCACTGTGAAGTGCTCTGTAAACATGGGGTGTTGCTAACGCACAATCTGGTGAGGCAGTCGAGGCAGAATCTGTCTAGTGCAAGGCCATACCACCTGGACACCTCCGATCTCATCTACCTCAGAAGCTCAGCAGGTTAGTCCTCAGATGGGAGAAGCCTTGTTTCATAGTGGACCACTGAAGAAAGTATTTGCTTTTGGCTTTGAAAAAGATCTAACGCTCCTACAGAAAAAGTCTCATGGAATACGTGTGATGACCCATCCTGGTGCTCAACTATTTCCCAGACAGAGCACGAGATTTGAGTACTGTATCTAAGCACGAGTCAGAGTCATGACCTCAACATAACCAGTGGTCACGCAAGCATCAAATGCTTCTTGCAATGGTGTCCTAACATCCATTTCAGCAGCCTCTTTTGACAATGGCATTACAATTTCATGTGTGTGCTTTTGAAATATGGAGGAAACGTTGGACTTCTGAAATTAAACAAGAAATGAGAGTAGCCAGAGCACAAGAGGAGACGGGCGTCCCACACAGGGAAAGCGCTGCAGGCCTCCTGGTCCAGGCCAAGCCCTGCAGGCTGGCACGCTCACTCACCTCATAGAAGCCACGCACCAGGCTCTCGGTCTGCTGTACCACGCCCCTCTCTATGCGCCACTTCACCATCCTCTCGATGTACTCCTTCTTGTTCTTCTCTGTCACCGGGATATTGGCGCCCCCAGGCTTCAATTCTCGTTCCGTGATCTGAGATTAGAAAATAAGAGAACTGACCAGAAGGCAACAGGCTCGATGTCCTAGCTCTGCTGCCCACCCCACCCAGCCCAGGCAGCCTGCAGGCAGGCGGCGGGTCCCACACTCCATCTCCTGTACAGAGGTGCTCAAGGCACCCGAAGGAGCTGAGGTCTGAGGCCCAGAGGGCTCCGAACACTGCCCTGCAATGTTGCCTGCAGTGGTCACATGCTTTTACATGCAGAGGAACTGGCTCCACATACCCACTACCGTCTGAATGTTGGACAAAACCCTTTCCACAAATTCCTCTAAGATTTAGAATCAACTACATCTACAGTCAGTACTGAAGATCTACGTAAGCAAGCACAATTACCCTCAAGTGCATATTAAATGGAGAGTTTTGCAAAACACATGGAATTCAGAAAACAAGCAAATGTTACTGCCTTATAAGAACTAATACATAATTGCTGAAAGAAGTCCTTTAATCTACATTTCTACCAACTTTGAAATAAATAATCTAAGTTCTGTTTGTAAGCCTTCTCCGAAATACTGTTTACATTACCTCAGTCTCAAAACAATCCATTTCAGTTCTGCAACCTGAATGAGCGCTAAATGCACATGCCAATTCAGTAACTTCATATCAACTCTAGGACAGCATAGATTATTAAAAACCATATTCTCTATAAGCATACAGTTCTTATACACAAGCTATGTGTTATCATATCTTTTGTGGATATCTTGTTTGGATATAAAAGGACTGCTGCTTACAACATATGAAGGCTTATTATGATCTATAAATGAGAACACCTTCATTTTCAGTTGGCATCAGAATAATCCTCGCAACCAAAAATACTATAATTGAGTGCAATCCTGTGTTTAAATCGCCCAAAAAGCCACAAATGAAGAAGCACCCGCTCTGAGCTATGGAATTAGCTTTCCACCAGCCACAGCCTCCAGCGACCCTGGCCAGGAACGTGCCAGTGAGCCCGACACAGACCTGACCAAACACCTCCTCGTTTACAGTGAATGTGAGGTCCAGGATGTCGTGGATGTCATTGTCTTTCATCCACTGTAGGCTCTGGTGGAACTCTTCATCCAGGTACTCGAGATCGCTGAGATCACACAGGCTGAGGTGACAAACAGAAACAAACACGGAGGCTCAGCAATGTGCAAAACCCAGAGTAGTGGAGGAAGGAACCAAAAATCAGTAAGAGTAAGATCAACTCTTTTTTTTTTTTGTACCGGGGATTGAGCTCGGGACCTTCTGCTTGTGAGGCAGGCAGTGGAACCACTGAGCTAAATCCCCAGCCCTAGATCAACTTATTAAGAGGCAGTACTACTGAAATGTCCTCCGTCAAGCCCAGTAACCAAACCAGTGAAGTAATTCACAAGCCTGGCGTTGACGTTAACATCCGGATATATAAAATGCCACAGGGACAGCTCAATCTGTCCCCTTTCTACATTCAGAGGTGCACAGGAGCTGCTACGGACACCATCACCCACAACTGGTCCCAGGTCTCCAACTGAGCTTGGGTTGACAACTTGGATTCAATATGCTTTTCTGGCTCTGTTATACCACCTTGAAATACTGTTCTCCTAATGTGAAATTCCTTATGTATTTCAACACCGTGCTTCAACTTTGTTTTTCGTGTTTTTAAAGACGAGGTTCTGTGGCTTGTGTTCACATACACTGCCCATTTCCTCACAGTTCTTATTCTGTGGTTCTGAAGACAGTAAGCCAAAGAATCTCTCCACAATTATAACAACCATCTCTTTCTACCCTTCCCTTCTTTTTCATCACAGAGACAGGATCTACATGAGGTGGGCCGCAATTGTCTGCCCTGTTGCAAGGTGGTGTAATTGATTTGCTACAGCTGCTTTGAAATTTCCCTTCCCTCAGCTCCATTGCAAGGGTCATTTTGTTCTAAACAGTTATTGGGCACCAGGCCTCTTCATGGCGACTGGATGAGCTGGACATCTCCCGGGAAGGCAGGCACACAGTGGGGAAGCTGGTATAAGGTGGCAAATGAGAACACAGCACGGACGTGTTTACAATTCACATGATTTCTAAATGCACCTTCAATTTATAATAAAGGTACAGAAAGCTGTCAGAGCAAACACAGGGACTTTGCTTTTACTTGGTGATTCAGGGGAAATTTTTCAGAGCCGAGGATGCTTACATTGAATCTTGTAGGATTTTAAAAGATAGGGATATAGAAAAGGAAGAAATGAGAAGGAAGTAAAGAAGGAAAGAATGGAGGAGGACAGAATAACCTGGGCCGAATGCCAGGGCCAAGGGCAGAATTCTCCAAGGGCAGGGGCAGCGCTAAAGCAGCAGCTGCAGGATGATGTTCGGTTGGCAGGGCTGGAGCGTCCCTGGGAGTGGGCCCGGAGCATCACCCACAGGAGCCCCCCCTGAAGGGGCCCTGGAACCACGTGCTCAGATGTGAGGGTGCGAGGCCAACAGGTCCTCTAGAAGTCACGTGTACACGGTTATTTAAAATGGGACAGAGACCAACTGATACACTTCAGTTACCTGGGTAAAAACAACACCAGGGTTCTAATTAAGAGTGGAGAGAATACAAGTCTGAGAATTATCTAGAAAGCAAATGTAGAAATTATTAAGTGGCTTTACTGGAACAGGCTATAAAGAAGGACATCTAAAATAGGGGTGGCAAACGAACACATGACACAACCGACTCACTGATGCACAGCCCTGAGGGCTGCAAACCGAGACGATCGCTCAGGGTCCTGAGTTCAGTGGGAAAAAAATGGCACAAATGATGTGTGAACCACTCCCAGGAAGGGGGTCAGAGGTGGGAAGGAGAAGGACATGTCCCGGGCACCTGCCACCCTGTGAGAGGGTCACCTTCCGGTTTCTGATCGGAGTGGCCAAGAACACCAGCCCTGTAACGGAGGTGGGACACGCAGGGAAGGCATCATCTCAGGTCCCAGGAAATGATGAGCTTGGCCTTCACCGTGCCGATGCTGAGGTCCCCGTGAGATGCCCAAGTGGAGAGGACCAGTGAGCACCGAAGGAAGGCCGAGGGGACCAGTTTGGGGTCCCAAGGAGGTGGGCAGGTGAAGAAACTCACAAACTTCTCCACATCCACCGCCGAGTGGGCAGGGCAGAGACCACATGGAAGGAAGCTTCAGAAACCCTGAGGCTTCAGGGCCAGTCGGAGCGGAGGAGAGGGAGAAGTCAGAAGAGAACTGTAAGGGCTCGGTGCCGCTGGTGCCTGGAGAAAGAGCCAGGGAAAAATGGGGGACAGGGCAGGTTCTCTGCAGAATGGTCCCGGGGGTCGGGATGAAAAGTGCTCTGTAAGTGCCTGCAGCACTGCTGGTGTGAAGGAAGCCTGACCAAGGCGTGTGGAGGGTGTGGAGCTGAGGTCCTGTGAACAGCTGTGAGACCCCCCTTCCAGGAAGCCACGGGGCAGAGGGGGATCCGAAACGGAGAGAGCAAGTGGCCTGAGAGAACGGGACCCAGCAAGAACTACAGGTGTGAAACCCCACAAGGCAGGCAGCAGACGCTTCCCCGGACCCAGGGCCACGAGAAACAGTCTGATTGCTTCTGAGTGAGGTTGACGCTTCGGTTTTGCAGAAAGTGGTTTGGGGCCACGGTGAGAGAATGCACGGGACACAACCAAGCCAGGACTCAGTGAGTGCTTTCTCCCCGCAGACAGCTGCCTTTCACTGCCTGGCAAATGACTCTGGGACAGGAACATATTCTACAACAATTGCAATCTTTTATCATCATAACAATAAAGAAAAATGCTGAATTTCCACCTGCCGTGATACATTACTGTTTCGCATATAGGAAGAACTCAAGAACAGTATGGCACTGTCTACCTTAACAAGCAGACCAAAAATAAAATGAAAACAGAACAAAGGAGAAGGGAAATCTGACCAACAACAGGCAGTTGAGGGTTTGAATGAGGCAAAATATGAAATGTATCTCAGAAAGCATAAGGGGCTGTGAGTCACACAACTAACCACAACTATTCCATTAATAATTGGCATTAATACCACAGGAATTCCAGGGCTGTGTCTGAAGTGCAATTGTTTTGAGGAAACATGTGTTGCAACAAATGAGAATTATTCAGAGCAAAGCTAAGACTTTGGCAGGAATAAAGGGTCAAGAACCTGTAACCATATTTAAAACTGTATTACTTTCCAAAATCACAACCAGTATTCAGTTTAACAGCAACGGATTCGAAACACTGAACAGATAGCAACTCTGACAGAAGACTAAAGATTCTTTTTAATAAAAACTTGTTTTTGTTTTGTTGTCCTGGAGATTGAACCCAGGGCCTTCACCAGGAGCAACATCCTCAGCTCTTCTTCTGATTTTAAATTTTGAGACAGGGTCTCGCTAAATTGCTAAGTTGTCCAGGCTGGGCTGGAATTTGCAATCCTCCTGCCTCAGCCCTCCCACAGTGCTAGGAATACAGGTGTCACCAGGCCCAGCATAAACAATGCAATTCCACATGTTAATTACCAGAGCAATAAAAATATTCTTACATTCTGAGAAGAGCCTTATAAAAGGGCCGTGTGAAGAAGGCATCCAACAAATACTGGTGTATTAGTGCGAGACCAAGGATCCTCCCACTGAACCGGAACCTACGAAAGAAAAACACGAGACAGCGTGCATGTCAGAGCAGTTTCTAAACGGTTCTGTTTGCTCTCTAGAATGGCTCCAGCTCTAACCGTCTGTTTGTCCAAGATTAACTGCAGATTAGGTCCCTGAGCGTTTGTGTGCACTGTAGGTTGTGTTTTCACTAGCCCATGATGCACATCTGCTTGCTGAAGAAACGTCTGCCGATGAGACGCAGTTCTCCCCCACCTGTGTCCTTGCCACCATGTGGTACCCACTGTGACCACACGAAGCCCCCATGAGCACTCTGGCGACAGGTCCCCAACCCACTTCAGGAGACACTGACAGGAGGAGACCGGGGTGCAGGGAGGGTGTTGCCCCCTCTAGTCTGCATGCACGAGTACTGGCTGGGTTTCTCTAGGACAAACAAATTCTTTTGAGAAAAGCCACATTCCAGATTGAGAAAGTTTCTATCCCTGTTCTCTCTCAAACCCAGCTCCTGGTGGTAACCATCACCAGGCAAGAATCATGCATGTGGACATTTCGGGGAGTTTCCTCGTGGGGCATTCTGTTCTCCAAAATGTTGAAGTTCAATTCTATTCTGAATCAACTCAGAGACTTGATTCCAGGTCTGTTCTGACTGGATGTGCTGTCTCCGATGCATGTGCACTCACTTTCTCTACGAAGAGTGCCCCAAGGTGGGACGCCTTCCAAAAGTTTAAACACACTGGGACTCAAACTGTCAGTGTGTAATTTTAGTGTCCAGCAGCTTTGTTCCTATTTCCGCTTCTGTTGGCACACCTGTCAGAGCCGGAGTGAGGAGGACTCCAAACTGCAGCTAACCGGAGGCTGGCTTAAAGGGCAGATCTCCAGAGCTAATGCCTCTGCCCATCCATGCTGACCCCGTGACCCAGGAAGCTTTCCAGAGGAGTCCTGGGCATGTTCTTTCCTTGCAGTAATCAGTGGACATGAACAGGAACTCATTGATAGGGGTTGTGCATATATTTAGTCTACAAATTCTGGGATTAAAGATGCAAAGAGCACAATTTGAGATTCCCAGAATAAATACCTGCAGACGGGACTCCCAAAGCAGTTTTCCGTGATGATTTTGTGTGATAGATGAGGAAAGAGGCAACCCCCGGTCATGGGCACTGCGTGTGACACTGTGCTCCGGCCGTTGACCACCAGATCCTCTGGGTCACTGACCCTCCCCGCCGGCCACCCCTGGGCCAGAGCTCCCGCTGCTGGGTCCCTCCCACCCCAGGGCCAACCACTTCCCCAAGGGCCACCAGAAAAGCCGCCAGACCCCCGTGTCAGGCCCTGTCCTCCTCCCTATCCAGCGCTCAGATGCCCACAAGTGCACAGAGGGGCCTAGTGGTCTTGCCCGGAACCTAAAATCATCTATAGCTTGGGAAAAATCTTTTGACTTCTACTCGACTCAGTTAAAACTGGTCTCTTGTAACATTATCTATACCTGGAGACATTATCTACAGCCTGGAGACTGCTTGTGGATTTCAATTTGACAATAAAAATTATAGTCAAATGAGATATTTAGCTGATAATGATTTTCTCCAAGCAAAATGATATTAAATGGGTGCTCCTATTAAAAACCAGCAAACAAATATCACAGAAAATCAACCGAAGACAAATGGGGGGGGGTTCTTACCATTCATGGTGATTGTCTACAAAAGCAGACATGGGGCTTATCTGTACTGTGTATGTGTCGTTGGCTGAATATTCAAATAAGCCATAATAGGGGTTAAAGAGCTCTCTGGATACCAGGAAGAAAAACTCTCTGGAAGGCCCACTGTAATCCAGCCTGTTAAAAAGAAAATAAAATAATACTTAGCTTTTATTTCTTTCCTAGGTATTAGGGATATTTTCTCCTGAGCCCATCTTTCTGTAAAATGCTCATTAAAGAGAATTGTTTATATATCAGGCCTGCACAAAGTAAACTGAACAAATTCCTGATTTCACTGTGCCTTGTGCCAACACAGTGACCTGCACATTTACGTGCAGTGCATCCAAAACTAAACTGTACATCACATAATGCAGAAGACAGGCAAATAGCAATCTGGATGGATACACACAAAGATAAATCTTCTAAATATCGGAAGTGTGGTTAGGGGAAAGAAGGCTCCCAAGGGAAACCAGTGGGAATCAGCTGCATCCAGTCGCAGGATGTGGCATCTCCTTTGGGTTCCTGGAGCCTTTCTGAAGGACAAAGGAAGAAACTTCCATGCACTGGAGAGAGGAGACTATGGATCCAAGGCCCACCCCACCTGAGATCAGAGGCAAAATACAGAATGATAGAATCCAAGCAAACATTTCACATTGTGAAACACCACAGAAAATTACAGACAAGGAGGGTGAGAGGTACTCTGGGAAGAGCCTGGGACCCTAGCACCTGAGCTGCACTGTAAATTCCACTGTTCTTACGAGGACTTCAGGGTCACAGTGAAGTAGAGGGGAAGAGTGTGTTAGGTTTGAGGAATGACAAGCAGCCAACAATGCCAAGAGCAAAAACTGCAGTAAAGAGGAATTCGCAACCAAGCAACTGGATATGCTAAATTTAAAATGGAAACTATGAAGTGGATCTACCCTATGATAAAGTGGACAGAGATTCAAGGAGGGGGGCAGCCATGGGAGAGTGAAAGTGACTGTGAGGTAGGATGAGGGTTGTGGAAGTCTCTCTCTCTCTCTGTTTACTCTATGGGTATTAGTGCATTTTTATTTTTATTTATTTTATTTTATTTTTTTAAGAGTAAGAAATTTACTGGGGAATAGAAATGGGGAATAAGAACAGTTCCTGAGAGACAGGAGGGGTCCCAAGTGGGTTGAGGAGCCCACTTCTCAAAGGAAGTTTTGTAGAGCTAAGTCACGAGGGGTGGGTACAACGTGGGTAAAAACTATAATCAACCAATAGATTACAAGTATAGTCGTTTGGGTAATATTGAAGGACTAGGTGTTCGGCATCAGGACCTTTTCCCCTATAGCAGCCGCCCCACAAACCAGGTGTGGTGGTAACGCCTGTGTATGGTCCCTGGGAAACTCAGGCAGGAGGATTCTGAGGCACTGTGGAGTCCACCTGGAAAATTTGAGCATACTAAACTACATTCCCAGCCTCGAAGAGGGTCTCCCTAAGTGGCTAAGCTGCCCAAGCTAGGCTCAAACTCTTGGTCCTCCTGCTTCAGCCTGCCAGGGTACTCGACTCACGGGTTATACACCATCACATGGGGCTTTTCTTCTGTAACCCTTTAGAGATGTGAAGCTATTCTTAGCTTCCAAATTTGGCCTCCTGTGCCCTGGCTGGCCAACTCCAGCCCTAGGACATGGCTCCCTCTCTGGAACACATTTGGAGCACCCCACAGACAGGGAGACTCTTTACCCCTTAGAGAAATTTTTTTTTTTTTGGTACTGGGGATCAAACTCAGGTCCTTGCACTTGCACAGCAGGTGGTGAAACCAAGCTAAATCCCCGGCCCTTAGAGAAATTTTTTTGAGACAGGGTCTTGCTGTGCAGTTCAGGCTGGCCTCAAACTCATGGTGATTCTCCTGCCCCAGAATCCCCAGTTTGGGAACTACAGGCATGCGCCACCATGCCCGGCCTCTAATTCGAGGAGTTGTGACATCCTAACAGGCCTCAACCAAGGTTCTGTGCTCCATCCAGGCTTCCTTACTCAGGCTGCAGATCTCTGAGCTCTTTCAAGCACTCTGCCAGCCTGGTGATACCTCTGAGCAGCAGTATCCTCCACAAGTCACACACTGACCGGGCTCCAGAGCGTTCTACCCTCCATGAGGAAGCCACTCCCTAAGGCTCCTTGGCCCCCTAGTTTCCTTCTGGAGGTGTCCTAGGCGGCCTTCCCTCTCCCAGCCAGCAAACCCCAGGGGTTCTTCGGTGTCTGGCTAAGGGGCTGGGGAGGGGCGGCAGCCAGATTACACCCATGACCTTGAAGTCAGTGCCTACATCCACCCTTCTCACTCACAGCGAGGGAATGAGGAGGAGGCTTCCATCATCACAGAGAAGATCCCCCAAATGGACCCAGTCATGACTTTCTTCCCCAGTGCTGGGGATTGAACCCAGGGCCACTACACCGAGGTACAACCCCAGCCCTATTTTTTTTTTTTTTTTTTTGGTACTGGGGATCAAACTCAGGACCTTACGCTTGCAAGGCAGGGGCCGGAACCAACGAGCTAAATCCCTGGCCCCCCCCCCAGCCCTTTTTTGAGACAGGGTCTCAGTGAATTGCCCAGGCTGGGCTCAAATTTGTGATCCTCCTGCTTCAGCCTCCCAGAGAGCTGGATGAACAGTCAGTGTCAGTGGATGGGGCTGGAAGCACTGATGGGGAGAGGACAGGAACATGAGCCTGCACTCCCCTCCTCCCTCGTGAGTCAGGCTGGCCTGCCAGGGTAAAGGTCCCGCTGCTGGGACGGGGAGAAGGGAGGACGAAGGCTCCTCTCTTCCTGGGTCTTACCCCAGTCCTGGCTGGGCCAGAACCCTAAAGGTGTCCTACATCTTCCAAGTAACTTGACTGTCGCTTGGCTGACTGTCTCCCCCTCCGCCCGCCCACAGGGACCAGCAGCTGCTTCCCGCCAAGGCGAAGGCGGGGCAGAGAGAAGACTGTGGTCTCCGTCCCTTTTCCCATGATCCCCTGGAATCCAGGAAAGGAGGTGCTTGGTGGAAGTGAGTGGTACCTGCCCCGCCTGGCTCAGCCGTGCTGCAAGGAGGAATGTGGGCCCGGGCACACAGTAGAGCAGGGTGTGGGCAGCCCGGTCCTCGCCGGCGTCGGCATTCAGAGACCCTTGTTGACGTAGACGTAGGACAAGCATTCTCCAACCTTGGCCTTGACAGTGTCCCGGAGCTCTTGTTCCAGACAGGAGACTGGCAACTCACATGTCTGTGGGAAGAGCTCACATGTCTGTGGGAAGAGCGCACATGCCACTGGCACCACGAAGAGGACGCATCCAGACAGCGCGGCCTGAGATGGCGCATGCAGCACCTTGGCTTTCTTCATGAAGTCCAGTTTCTCCAGCCTTTCCATGATGACCGGCAGCAAGATCATGCCAGGAGCCGCCATGGCAATCTGGGAAATAACCACTTGGGTGATGCCTAGGGCCGCAGCTCTCTGGGAATGGCCAACCTCACTCTGGTTCTTGTCCTTCACAGAGATGCCCTGGATGAGTTCGTGCTGTCGCATCACTGGGATATTGACACAGTTCGCAGCAGCCACGGCAGTGAAGGGCACCCAGCAGCACACCAAGGGAGGAGCTCTCTGACCGATGTGGGGGACGCCGCATTCCTGTTAGTGTAGTTGACCAAGGCATTGAAGGACTGGTTCACCCACTGCCAGAAGATCACCGCTGGCACGGTCCTATAGAAGTGGAGCATGAAACCTGTGATGATCATGCCGCCGGGGACCTGCAAGGACATCAGCTCGATCACGTTCATCTTCTCCCCAGTGTCGGGGTGGAAGGCCGAATCACACAGCTTCTTAGCATACAGAAGTTGCTCCCCTTGGGTGCCCGGGGGCACGACACCCATCCTGCTCTGCTCCACCCTCGCCTTGGCCTAGTCCAGCTCCCACTCTGGCTGCAAGACGCTCCGGGGGTCTGTGATGCTCAAGAAATACTTCACTTGCCCCAGGAACGAGCGCTGGTTCCAGCGGGGGTCATCGATGTTAAAGCCAGACAGGTGACCCCCCATCGTGCCCGCGCCCAAGACTACAGACTCTGGGGACAGAGGATGAGGGTGCCCCCAAGTCAGACACAGTGACAGATTACTGGGCCCGGGAAGGACGCCCCGAAACAGATGCACCAAAGGCAGCGCGAGCGGGGAGCCAGGACGCAGAGCACCGCCAGCTGGGCCGGCCCCACGCCCCAAGCCCCACGCCCCACGCGGTTGCACACGCTCCCCGCCAGCCAGTCACCAGCCGGGAGGCACCCACCGGCCACGGAGGCCGACAGTCCGCCAGGCCCAGGGAACGAGGCCAGGCCCCGCCCCCGCCACACTGGCGTGCGCCTGCGCAGTGGAGGTGCGCCAGCCCACTTGCGCTGTTAATGCATTTTTAAATGAAAAAAGAAATCACCTGATCTTTTGCGGTGATTCTGTGACATTGAAAGGGATCCTATTATAGGCAGAACAGAGCTGGGACCAGAAAGCAAAACAAAAATGGCCTTTATCTGCTTGAGAATAGAATTGAATTTACACCATCCAGAGGTCCACTATGCACGAAACCACCTCTCCAGTCTGCCGCGTCTGAACACACATGCTGTTATGTACTTAGTATCTTTCATCAAGTCAACTCCAGACTTGTTTTTTCAGTGTAACCATGTCTTACACAATATTTACGGAGTTTTAATGTGCTCGGTTTCTTCTAATACACACGACGGAAATGCATACATGTTAAAATCCCATCCTCGCGGTGGGTGAAGTCGTGCACACCACCAGCGACGTCAGGGCTCATGCTGCACTGCCAGGAAAGGTACACGTCAGAAAGCACTCACAGCGCTCTGGGGCCACGCAGTCTGCGGGGACGCAGGGGACCTGCCCTGGGCCCTGACTGGACACAGCTAACCATCCTGAGGCTGCCCTGGGCCGCAGGGGGTACAGACCACCTGTGCAGCGCCCCTCGGCTCCTCCCGCCGGGCCCGGTCGGAGCTGAGGCAACCGAGGCCAGCAGAACACTTCTTCCGCCTGAGCAAGCCTCGCATACTCAGAGTCCTTCTTCCAGCAACACCGCAGTGCAGTTATGTGTGGGGCACTACTCTGGATCTTCAAGACAGGACAGTTTTCGGACAGTCAGCTTCTAGAGGAACTTTG